CTAGCCGGGAGGGGCGGGGCTTAGCGCCCAGAGGTGCCAGGGCGGGGCTTAGCCATGGGGGGCAGGGCTAAGGGTAGGGGACTGACCCTGGTACCCCTGCAGCTGTCAGAGCGTGGTGGGACCTGGCCTTGGTGGTGGGGTCAGTGGAGACCCCCCGCTTCCTGCAGTCTCGCCTCCTGCCCTTGGTGGCTACTCAGCTGCAGCGCCTAGGAGCAGGGCCTGGGCTGCTGTCCTGCACGTGGCACTAGTGCAGCAGTGCTCACCCATTGTAGCATTGAGGCCCCCTCGGGGAAACAGCAGCGCTGAGCTTGTTGATGATGGAAAGACAACAGAGCTGTTCTTCCCTTGAAAAGGACTTGGCAAGACCCTGGTAGCTTGGCACAGTTCAAAGGCAACAGATGCCATTTTGTGACCTCCAGCCTTATTTTGCGCCTGCGCACCTGACAGTGCTAAAATATTGTGTGGTGCCCTTAAAAGCATCTCTCAGCACCCTAGGGTGCACTGCTCTGTACCCCCCACCCTCGGTTGAGAATTTGATGTTTTCTGTGTGTCTGGGGCAAACCCCAGTGACCAGATCTTCCCTTCGGAGTCACACTGTCATGTCTGTGATGCCAGTGTCCAACAATCTGTTTAACTGCGCTACAGATGGTATAAACTGAGGCCCCTTCCTGTATTAGAGCCATTTTAAACACTTTATATAGAAAGTACTAAAATAAAAAGCTATGGCATAAGCCTTCAAAAGCAGCGCACTGTACAGCTTGGAAACATATTCACAAAGGAGACTTCTATAAAAGTCTTCCGCAAACTACTTAAACGGGCCTCGCGTCCCCGTATACAATACAAGAGAGAGGACATTTTTTTCTTTACTTTTTGGTTTACAAGGAATCTTGACTGATCTAATGTGGTTTTGCTGACTGCCTTCTGAAGGTTGAGGGGGAACAAATCCATCCCCTTTAAAGGGAGGAGAGTTCAGAAAAAAACATTATTTAATGTGTTAATTAGTTAATGAAATTAGTGTCTATATTAACATAAGGGGGTCAAACTGGTTAAAAATCAGAGGGGCAGGGCATATTGAAGTTTTGTTTTGCTAGTTGTCGCTTAGCTTGGTGGGAACTGAATCTTTGGCAAGGGGGATATCAGGACTCTCCAATACACATCAGAAAACTTTGGGCCTTCACACACTTTAAGTCACTCCTTGTTCATACATATGCCAAAGAGGGCACAAAGCCCATTTCCCTGCTGTGTATGACGTAAAAAGAACACCTGCCTCATTTTGATAGTTTAAAAGTTTCAGCCCTTACTGGTTGCAGTCCTGGCACAGGAGGCTAAAGACATGTGTGTGCTCAAAAACTTATTCTTGTGGGAGAAACCCACCCTGTATTGGGGGGAAAAAAAACTCCAGTAGTGAACAGAAGTTGCAGTATTGTTCCTACTGACTCATGTGGGGGTATAAATATTTGTGAAATATTGCAATATAAATTACATTATAAAACATTACAGGAATATGAGAGAGATTCTCATGATGTCCTAAAATCAAATGAGCTTAAGTGGCCAAATTCCTGACAGTTCTTTACCTACCCCAAGA